CGAGGCTGGCGGGTGGAGGGGCACCGCCGAGAGCAGACGGGGGTACAGGTGGATGCGAAGAGCGCACCGGATGTGGGACACCAAAGGGGAAGGGGCCACGGGCGCGCGGCGGCGACTCCGGGTTGACATCGAAAACAGCCTCTGGGCTGGGAGAGGCTTGCGGGAAGAAGGGAGCCCGCCCGGTCCGGACGGGAGCGAGGCGGTTCTGAGGGAGACCGGCGGAAAGGATCGGGGTGGGGGGCGCACGCTGGGCCGCCCCGGGACGACCCTGAGGGTGGCGATGGTGGCAACATCGAGGAGGGGCACCGCCGAGAGCAGACGGGGGTACAGGTGGATGCGAAAAGCGCACCGGATGTGGGACACCAAAGGGGAAGGGGCCACGGGCGCGCGGCGGCGACTCCGGGTTGACATCGAAAACAGCCTCTGGGCTGGGAGAGCCTTGCGGGAAGAAGGGAGCCCGCCCGGTCCGGACGGGAGCGAGGCGGTTCTGAGGGAGACCGGCGGAAAGGATCGGGGTGGGGGGCGCACGCTGGGCCGCCCCGGGACGACCCTGAGGGTGGCGATGGTGGCAACATCGAGGAGGGGCACCGCCGAGAGCAGACGGGGGTGGGCGTGGTGGTGGGCGCCTGTAGTCCCAACTACTCAGAAGGCTGAGGCAGGAGAATCACTTGAACCCGGGAGGTGGAGATTGCAGTGAGGTGAGATCGAGCCACTGCACTCCAGCCTGGGTGACAGAGCGAGACTCCGGCTCAGAAAAATAAAAAATAAAAAAAACGAAAACAGTCCAGCTTTGGCCTAGGTAAAACGACATGAGAAGAGAGCTGGGGGAGAGGATCAAAATGGTGACGAGAAGGGGTGAATGCTAAGAATTTGATGCAACTTTAGAGAAAACATCGTAGTGAGGAGGTCACTGACGGGAAGTTGATACTCAGGGTGTATCATCCCGTATTTGAGAACTTACAACTTGCCAGCCATTCTTCTAAGAGCTTTACATATATTTAATCTTCATACCAGCCCTAAGAAGTAGGGAAAACGTACGTGCTCCATTATCCCCATTTCACATATGAGTAACTCAGAGAAGCTTAGAAACTTGCCCAGGATCACACAGCTCAGTTGATGGGAGGGCTGGGATTCGACGTCAGGCCTGTCAAGCTCCAGAGCCGCGTTCTTAGCCGCTGCATTTTAGCTTCATACCTGGAAGAAGCAGCAAGGTTTAGGGAAGGGGCGCCGCAGGCCGGGCCAGTGAACGCTGAGGGCCAGCAGGACTGGGCGGGGTGGGTGTGTGCGGGAGGTCTCTGAGAACGGCGAAGCCAGACGGGAGCCGGGCCTGGGCTAGGGGAGA